ATTTCATGTTTAATATTAATTAAAATTAAAATGTTTGGTACTATTTACGTAATGTTACTACTATAGTATTCGATCCTTTTCTAAAATTCGATAACAATTTGATATTATTACTGATAGCACTTAATTCAACGAACTCAATTTATTTTTCATCGTTCGTGATTTCAATAATAAAAGTTTTTGGATCGAATTTTAGTTATTAGATTAGATGAAAAAGAAAACGCTTTAAAATTCCGTCTAATAATTATCTGAAGTTTCAAAAGTCTGGACACTTTAAAATTTCAATCAATCTAATTTTAACAAATTTTATTGCAATAATTTATCTCGAAGTACATGGAACAAATGTTAAAAAAGCACTGCTGTTTTTTTTCTTACTTTTAATAAAAAAAAAAGTTTGCAAAAAGGAAACATTGTATTTTTACGACAGTAAGTGATGTTAGGAAACAAGTCGAAATCTTAGTGCTTTTTGTTGTAATGATGAATGATTACATGCTTTAATCTAATGATTCATTGTGAAATGAATGAATCAAATAAAATGATTTATCATTCTGTCAATTATCAATTTCACTACAAAAAATAAGAAAATAAACAACAACAACAAAAACAACAACATAATTCTGTTTTAGTTTTTTTAGTTTATTTTTTGCTCATTTAAAGTTCATTCTTTGTTACATTGTAATAGACACCAACACTCGTAGAATGTTCGAACAAAAAAGAAAAAAAAAACGATAAGGGAAAAAAATTACTTTTACTTCCATTTTGTAAAGTAGAAAACATTATTATTATTTTTTTTTTAATACACATACCCACTATTTATAGAAAATCTTATTTTCTCTTTTTGTTTTTTTTTTCTTTTCACTGCAAAATAATTCTACCACTTTTTTTTGAGAGGGATGCAAATAACAAAATTAATTGAGTTACCTGAAATGGTACCCAATAGGTATTCTGAACCCAACAATAATTTTCCGTGTACTGTTCCATTGCTTTGGTGAATTGCGCTGGTACAAAACATTCAATTGGATGACCTAAAAAAAAGAAATATGAAAATAAATGAAGATGTAATAAAAAAACAGATAAATTAATTAAGAAGAGTCTAATTTCACTTTACGTCTTCAGGTTTCAGAAATGATCAGTGATGTTGACTGATTTTTATAGTTGTGTGTGTACACCTGTATTGGTCTGTCTGTGTGTGTGTGTGTGTGTGTGTGTGTCTACATATGTACATGTGTGATAAAGGGAAGATTTTTCGCCCTGGAATCATTTTATTCATTAATCAATTTCAAAATTACTGAAGGTCAATCCAGCCAAGTTATTTTCAATTATTAATATTTACAATCATTTTGAATAAAAATTTTGATCATATAATTTTCGAATTTCACATTTTGCAAATTCTGCAAATGTATTATCAAATAATACATGCTATGGTCAAACAAACGCCTGTGATAATTCATTTGTGCTTATGCTAATTTAATTTAAATGCTCATATGAAGCAGTGATGTAAAACACTTCCAGCTATCTCGTGTCATCTAGTCAGAAAAAGAATTGAAATTGAAATTGAAGTGCTCCAGAATTAAACAACCAATGTAGCTCCCGGGTAATTCCAAGAAAATATCTCATCTATAATTTCTTTTTTTATTTTCATTCATCGAGAATTTTGATAACTGACTGATAAGTGTCGATGGTGTGTGTATTTTCATTTCATGATGATTTTATAATTCATGTAAAAGATAAAAGTAATTCGAAAGCTATTAACATCTAACATTATTGCTACAATTGTTGTAGTAAAATTTAAAAAAAAAAAAGAAGGAAAAATAAAAATTTACATATATAGAAAGATGGGAAATTTATTACCATACTGTTTAGCAGATACAATAATGGAGAACAAGAGGAACATAGTTGAAGTGTAGAGATAATGAAGACGATCAACGAAATCATCATCCACTCTTGGCTCAAGAAGTCTTAGGGCAGAGGTTAATAAATGCATACCAACCCGATAACCACCAGAAACCATTCTTTCTTTTTCTTCAGAAGCCAACAACGTCACCGTCAACAAATTCAATGTAAGAAAAGTTGATCCTTCGTTTAAAGAACTCACTTTGAACTGCCCATTCATTCGAAGTCAGCTGGCAATACTTTTCGTTCCTCCTTTCTGAACGTCACTCGACTCCTCCCTTGCTTATACACATACACGCAATCATTCTCGTATATAATATGTATATATGTACAGTGATTAAAAACATTCATTACACATTAAATGATCAAATGAATAGATGAAATCAAATAATAAATTATGGAGATGAAAATGGAAAAAGTTTATTTCAAATTTAAGTCTAATATACAATGGGAGGAATAGTGGAAGAGATTCATTTATTTTACTTGATCTTCTGTAAATGTTCATTTAAAATGTTCATTTACAGAAAATTAAAATAGTTTTGACCAATTTTTTAAACAATTTACAACATTAAATAACTTCTTTTTAATTCTTGTCAGATGAGCTATTTTTAGTTTAAGTATGAAACATTTTAAGCTTTTTCGAATATTATTTGTGAAAAAAAAAATTTGGTTTCAGAAAAAAAAAAAGACAAGATTGATTTATACGAAATAAACAGTAATAGCAATGTCATAGGCAAATAACATTAATAGTAGTGAACAATACTGTGATGATTTGTTACTGTTTCTTGAATTAAATAGATCAAGAATTTCAACAGCAGAATTCTTCCCGATTTGGAATACTCGCTTTTGTTTTTTAATTTACACGAATCCTCCGCCATTTTTTTTTTTAAAAACTTGAAAAAAAAACAAGCGAATTTTCTTCACTTTAGATGAAACTCTTAGAAGAAAATAATCTATCTGTAATACCGAATATGGAAATGTTCTCGAATTTTGCTGCTTAAATTTTGCCTTCATTTGCTATCTGATAAACTAAGATGATTCTTCAATTTTCATCTTTAATCAAATAAAAAGACATTTTTGACTCTGACACTTCGAAGACTAAACTGTCGCTTGTACTACTTCTGTCGACAGAAGTTACTTATTTGCATCTCAAAAATATCATTCCAAAAATATCATTCAAAAATATCATTTAATCTAAGATGATACGAGAAGCCAAGTCTTATAGATACACTGATAACATCAGCGTATAATTGGCTATTCATATGTCCTCAATCTGTCATTTATAATTCATTTGATATGATTGGAGCCTAAAACTTTCACTTCTACGACAATTATCATCTCCCTAGAACTGGCTTAATTCAGATCGACTATAATCTCGAACCAGCTCAATCTAATCCGATCTTAGTCTAGATTGATTAGTTCGACTTTGGTATTTTAATGACTACTATAATTTCTTTGCTTCCTGTCTACACGTTTGCAATACAGTATCCCGCAATTAAAATAACAGTATCTGACATTCGATTAAGATGGTGATTTTTTTTTTTTTTTTCAACGTCATGTCTACGAACTTTTTGTAAATCGTTCAGAATATTTATTTTCTTACAAAATGCTATTAGTGAAACAATTCAGTTAGCATTTTCATTCTAGCATGTCTTGCAGAGCATTTAATCAGCCTTTGCATTTTCATTAATATAATGAGAAAAATTTATGAAAAGGACGATTATGTTCGGTATCTCAATCGAATTCCAGGTGTTACCATCAGTAAAATAATAACACTATCTTGAAAAACTGCGAAATTAAATCCAATAGATTTAATACTACAATAAATCATTTTAATCAGCTCTGATATTACGCCATTATCATTATAATTGTCATCGATTGTCACATCATATACCCTCATATTTAGGCCTACTCGTTTATTTCACTTCAAATATGTTTTTAAATATTTCAAAAAATTCACATTTTTTTTCAGGCACGCCCAGTTTTTCATTTTTGATACGTATTTTAATGATTTTAAATTAATAATGTATTAATAGATCTCAAAATGCTTTCGGATTATTTGCAGAAATGAATGAATGAAAGATTTGAAGTTTTAAAAGCCTAATCGGATTCAATTCAGAATGTGTACCTCGCAGAAATGATTGAAATCATCGGTTAAGGATGAGTAGCCAAAAATCATTTTTACAGGTACATTATACCCTCATATTTCTTTCTTCTGTTTCTGGAGAATGTAACTTTTTAGTGCAATTAAATTTTCGATAATTTCAATTCGATTTTTTTCCAACGAATTTATAGATGTGAAGTGAAATCACTTGTTGTGCTACTGGTAATACACTTTTTTTTTTCATTTCCATTAAATAAATACTTGTCGAGAATGCTCGATGTGCTTTTTTTTTCCTGCAAATTATCTTCTCCCGTAGTATCTTTTTTGGCATCTCTTTTTTTCCTCAGTGCAGCGATGAAACTGGCTTAATTAATCTTTTTGTAGCAATATTTGCAAATATTATGAAAAATTATGAGTTTTAAATTTGCAGAAATTATCATTAAAATTCTCCTGCGATGAGAACAAAAGTCAATACATTGTTTGCATCTTTTCTGATAACATGTTTTATCGTTTCTGTTTTAGTTGAATTGATTTCAAAAACAAAAAAATAAAGTTGCTGCTATCACCACGACATTGCTGCTATCTTTTGTGCTACTACGTCATTGATTAATTTATATGTTTTTAATTTTTTTTTTTCTCTCTCTCTCTCTCTCTCTTTCCTTCTCTGCTCTGTATATTCCACGATTAGATTGATATCTTGAGGATTTCAATTTCTTTACAATTACATTTTGTTCTAGGCTTCAGTATGTCTTAACTTTTTTCACTGTCCAAAGTCCCATTACTTTAACGTCTTGTCCATTCTCCAACGATCGATTCCCAATAAGTAATGTTGAAAACGAATGTTTTCTACTGTTAAATTTCATACTTAAAGTATATATGTGTTATTATATTCATTACTCCGTGATTTAACGCTTAATTCCGCTTCTAAAATGAATTTTCATTCTGCTTGCTCAAGTTTATCGAGTTTTCTGATCGTTTAATATTCCGAATTTTTCAAGTAGACCGTATGGATGATGAAGGAATTGTAACAAAAGAAGATGAATTCAAGGAATGTTTAGAATTATGTCAGTCCGGTGTGAATATGTGTCGGATCAAAGCGGGTTGCTTGGTAACATCTCGAAATGTTTGTGTGAAAGATCAAAAATGGTTATGTTATCATTCGAATATCTGGTGCAAGTTTTTGCCGTTAAAACTGAAATCTGGTAAGTTGCTAATTTCTTTTTTTTTGGATTGGCTTACAATTAGTAGAATAATTTGCGTTGTAGTTTTACCTTTTCCTTAATTTGTATGATATTCACTGGTTCCATTTTTATGTTGATAACATTTCTCTTGCATGTTACACTTACTACTGTGGATAGTTTTGTAAGAACTTAAAAAGATGCTTTGTATTATAAGCGAATATTGTCATTTCAAACTGTTATTTTTTGTACAAGAAGAACCACGCTAAGGAATCTTTTCCATCCGATGTTGTACCAGATTTCATTAATCTAAAAAATTTGTTCATATTTCAATTTTAAAAGTGGAATAAATAATTTGCAATTTCCTGAAAAATAGTGCAGCACAAGTGGCCTTTTTTAGTAAATATTGATGATATCCTGGAAGTGCGAAAAGGATTCAGTTCTGATAATCTTCACAAAGCTTCCAAGAAATATTCTTTTCGCGAAAAAGTTACGGTTAGTTTTATTTTTTTATAATTTGTAACTGGTATAAACATCAAGATATGGTTATTTATGTGCACATGTATTTATATGGATAATATATATGATCATTTAAAGACTAAATTTAATAATTAGTAGTTTTTAGCCTTAAATTACGATGCGTATTTGTGATTCTTGTACATAATTGAAATACAAATTATTAAAGCTTTTTTACTGATGAAGATCGCCTCAAAACATTTTATCTATAATAACTGTCCACTCCATAAAAATATCTTTTTACTGCCCTGAAACTTGAACAACAGCATATTGAAGTATGAAATGAAGGTTTATTACTTCTTCAACTCTATCACTTCCTCACAATCATTAGTCGACAACACTTTCGAATGTTCGTTAGATCTCGTTTCTTAATTTCTTCTCGCTGTTTTAAGTTTTGCTAGTGGTTTTTTTTTGGGACATTCAACATATAAAAATTGAAGGCAGAAATGTGTATGTCTGTAATCTTAACTCATCGACGTATGTTCCACAAATCAGTTGATTTTGCTGCTGAAAATCCATGCGTGAGAGATAAATTTGCGAAAGGTTTGCAATATCTTGTCGATAAGAAAAATCAAATACGCGTGCACTTTAATGAAGAGCGCTGGCTTTTGAACAAGTTCCGGAAAGCCGATATAAATAAAAGTGGTCAGTTGATTTGTATCGCATTGCAATGATTGTCCAATATATTTGATGGTTTTTAATTCCATAGAGCTTGGACAGAAGTAATAATGGTGGCAATCTTATTGAAGCATAAATTCGAATTTTTGTTTAGTTTAGAGAAAATTACTAAATATTAGCGATCAAGTCCATAAAAACTGAATACTAATGGTCTGTTTTGAGGGTGAATCAGTTAGGATAATTCAGTTGGTGTCATGAATGAACTTCTTTCAAGAAATTACGTATAAGATGCAGTGCATACTGTATACGGAATGACACATGTGAATTGTGATTATTTATTCATTACAAATCATTTCAGGCAAACTAAGTTTTGATGAAATACTGAAGCTGCTGAAAACGCTGAATTTGCAAATCAGTAACGAATATGCACTTGCATTGTACACGGTCATTTTTCAAAGGCTCATAAATGAATGATTTATGTCCAAATTCGTTCTTTTTTCTCCAGATTTGCTGCAGTGGAGTTTGTCTTCATAATAGTTTACAACTGTTAAACCTTTTTGGATCCGAATTTGAGGGTATAATCAGGTGTCATTCCAATTTGCTATTTGTTTTCTACAGATTCTTCTCTTTAGCAGTTGATGTGCTTTTCGTGTTTTTGAATTTTTCACAATAAAATAGTATTCTGACTTTTTTAGCAAGCAGATTCTTTTGGCAAAAATGATGGGCAGTTAGACGAAAATGAATTTCGTAACTTTTTCTCGTACCTAACAGAGCGTCCAGATTTGGAACATACAATGAGAATGTTCAGTGCAACCAACGACTTAGCGTTGTCTGCTGTCGATCTGAAAGCATTTTTAACGAACGAACAACAGGTATTGTAAAACACATTACTCGTATACTTGATATACGTTTTTTTTTTTTTGTTTATTAAAAGACCACAAATGCGATGCACAATGTCAAAGCAGTACGTACATTTTAAGCTTTTTTTATATAGTTTAAATTAAAAGGAACTATATTGCAGTTTGATGATATTGATGAAAAGAAAGCTGTATCAATTATTGACAATTTCGAGACAGCAAAACAGAGCGTAAAAATACTTGGACCCATAGGTGCCACATTATGTCTGAATTTTGCTTATCACTTCGCTTCATTATCAGGAATTGTTATCCTAATAAGTAGAATTTTATATTTTAATTACTGTTATGTTCTTGATAATTCGATCAGCAATCTTGACAGTTGCTTTGCGAAAAATGATATGACTTCGGGATATCTAAGAAACTACATGCTGGCAGCTAAGCAAAAGAGATCATAAAAAAGATTGAGCCTACATATGTTACGATCCAATGAAAATCAGTTTGTAGCGCTCTGAGTCATTTGTACAAATTCTGAATAATTATCAGGTTTTCGTTGGTTGCTGTTCGATAAATGGGGTTACATCATGAAGCCTGGACATGAAGGAGTTTTTCAAGACATGGATCATACACTAAGTCATTATTACGTCAACTCAAGTCATAATACCTATCTCACTGGATTGCAAATGCAGGGTGAAGCAACTGTTGAAGGCTATATCAATGCGCTAAAAAAGGGTGTACGGCTTTTAGAGTGTATGTACTACTATTTTCACTGTAGACTTTACCAAATGTTAATTTCAATAATTTTATTTTCAAATTTGAGATTAGAGTGCCTGCTTTAGTAGACGTTTTTGATGGCGAAGAAGGAGAACCATGTATTACACATAAGCGTACGTTAATCAGAACGATCACTTTGAAAGATGCACTGAAAGAAATTGATGTATACGCTTTTAAGACAAATCCTTATCCAGTGATACTGACTATTGAAAATCATGTTGGCTTACCGCAGCAGAAGGCAATGTCACGCATTTTTAAGGAAGTTAGTTATGATCATGAAATGTTTTCATATATTCTTACTGCTTTTTGTTTAGAATGTTTATGTTCATTTTCACTCGAAATATTTTTTATTTTTTCTAGAGTTATAGATTTCTACATTATATATATTTAGGTGTTAGGCGATAAAATATACATGCGCCCCGAAAATGGAGCTTCTCAGCCCTTACCTTCTCCAAATGCTTTGAAGAATAAGTATTTGCTGCGAGGCAAAAAATTGAGATCAGAACAAGGTCCTGATCAGAAATTTGATCAAGATAATGACGAAGCAATTCAAGACAACAGTAAAAACAAAGGCACCATCGAACTCGACCCAGAATTTTCTCTGCTGATATCATTGCCATCTGTTAAACTTTCTCATAATATCTTCAAAGATATCGATGAACGTTGGTTTTTATTTTGCATTTTAAGAGCTGGTCATTATGGGAATAAACAAGCTGAGAAGGCTTTTATAATTTGTTTTCATGTTTGATATATAATGCTTTATTTCTGTTTTATTTCTAAATCGAAGGGCGAAATATTTTTTTGATTTTGCAAACAGTGATTTTGGAATACATTCAATACCGAGATTATAAAAAACAAAATCCGTAAAAATTTTCAGATCCAATGGACGGTTCCTCTTCCTTATCCGAGGGGAAAGTTGCAAACTATATGGAAAGCGGTTATTCTCTTGCTGCTTATACATCAAAAAGATTTGTAAAATCGTTCCCGAAAGGTCTACGTCAAGATTCAAGCAATATGAATCCCATCCCTTCATGGCTTTGCGGTATACAGTCGGTCGCAATGAATATTCAAACTGCAGGAGAATATCTCGATTTAGTTAATGGTCTCTTTAGAACGAATGGTAATTGTGGTTACGTGCTCAAATCAAAAACACTTATTGATGGACTTGGTTGGTTTCTTCTTTTTTTCAAGTATATTTTTATAAATAAATATAAGGACTTAGGATGAAAGTAAATACGGGCAGTTTGTTATATTTAAGGCATCACGTGTACCTTAAACTATGTGGGAAATTGAAATAGTGTTCTTCAATCGAAGGATCTGGAACGCACCGAAATTAAGAAATTGAAGAAGTGAATACCAAGTTCCATTCCATCTTTTATTTTATTGATCCGAAGTTATCTACTAGAATAGCACAAACTAAATAGACGCATCCAAACTTTATGCCAAATAATAATGTTTCATTTTTCATATCCACGTATGCCCGAAGTATCGAGTGCAGTTGTGACAACAATGCTAGTTGGGGTACTTTTGCAACTTTTCATAATTATTAATACGATTCTGATATAATTAGTTGTTTTAGCAATTTATATTTGTTTGAATAACAAAAATATATGGCTTCAGTGTATACTACATTTTTTTGCAAAATTAATTTATAAGTTGTCCTGTTCATCGCTTACAATCCAGTAAATATCGAATTTCAGCTGTTCTAGGCACCAAAAAACTTGTTGATTTTTAGAAAGCATAAGAAATATTTCATGAATTAAATGAAGTGAATGAAGCATCACACGTGCATAACACATCCCATATTTCATTCTTGTTCTTAGGGTTTCAGGTTATAAGTGGGCAATATTTACCGATGATATCCAAAGCACTTGATGTTATCGACCCGTATGTAACTGTTGAGATTTTTGGGATTCCGGCTGATTCCCGAAAATTTCGGACGAAGACCATCCGCAATAACGGGTATATATTTTTACCATGATTTTTTGGGTGAACAGTAAGCATTATTGTCTGTTTTGTAACATGACCAATCTAAGACTAACTTCTATTTGTTTGCATGTGGAAGCTACTTATAAAGGAAACTCAAGTCTATATTTATGTTTGTCTTCGATCCACACATTTTTGAGATAGTGTGTTTCAGCTTTAATCCACAATTCAACGAAACCTTCACATTTCCGCTTCATTTTCCCGACTTTGCACTGCTTCGTTTCTGCGTGAAAGACTTCGACTCAACTTCCGCAAACGATTTTGTCGGTGAATATACAATTCCGGTAAAAAGTATTCGTGCAGGTTTGAAACTTCATCATTATTTCAGAATGCTAGAAGACATCAGTATAACCATTTATGGTGGATTAAATGAAGTAGTGTGATAACTAGCATTATGTACCTCTTTATTTCTATGAGATTTATGCATAATTATATTTTGATATGATCAGTTAACAATGACTATACGTTGCCCTAAAGGAACGAGATGCTTCATTTGTCCTGATGATCGAAATGAAGTATACACAGAACCATATTAAGGCTATTCACACGTACGATTGAATACGGGTCGTTTGCATATGGTAGACGAGTGTGCCTCACTTTTTATACGAATCGCATTTGAATGAATTCATTGCTGCATTATATATATATACATATATATATATATTACCTATCAATACTAATCATTTACCCTAAGAAATTCTATTTTCCAAATTGCATATTTTTCGAAATAAATTTTTAAATCACTTAGTCCCCTCCCTCCCGTTTGTAACCTCTCCCAAACGATTTATCGAAGTTTTGTTATTCCACCTCTTCTCACTGTTGCTTGCTTGTCTGCAATAGCTGAAATAGATTTTCCTAATTTCAACTACAGTGTATGCGCTATAACTTTCTTCCGTTTCCACTTGTAACTCGAATATGCTGCGATATATATTCTACATGCTACTTTAAATTGACTCTGAGATGCTTCAGTGCAAAACCAGAGACTATCCCAAATAACTGGTCATCCCGTGCTTTCCAAACGACATATGCAGACATGATTTGAGAAATAAATTCTTGGGACTAGGGAAGAGATCAACAATACGTCGATAATTCTTGCATTTATTGCATGATGAAAACAAGACCTGCCTGTAGGAAATGCTTCGCGATTCTATATAGTGTTGGTTGCTTTACATGGTAAATGTATTTTGTTTGTTGTTGAACTGCTTAATTCTCAAATTATTTAGTATATTTTATACACCCGAGTTCGATTTAAAATATGCACCATTAGTGTGATGGGAACTGAATTGTGGTCCTAAAACATGGAGTTTTGGTCCAAATTAAAACTGAAAATGTTTACGAAAAGGCATAAAATCCTAGTAAGGAAATCTAAGTAATTAGTATAGATGAGATGAAAACCTAGGTATGTAAATGCTAATTAGTAGGAATGAGATGATATAAAATATTGCCAGTCTCTAGCTTTACCAGTGACATAAACTATACTGTTTCTAATATTTAACTGGAAGAAATTTTATTCTATCTGATAATTACTTCTCTAATAGTACTACCCATCACTCTTAGTTGACTATCCCTACTGAGTGAAAGGGAAGGGAAAAACTTCACAGTGGTTTTAAACTCTTACAACTGTATGAAGTATGAAATTAACAGCACCTCAGATGAAATCGTACTTCATTAAGTCAACAACTCAGGTGCTAGTTATCTTAGTAAGATTGAGTATTACAAATCGGATGACATTGCGTAGGATATGAATTTTACGTAGACCAAAGTAGAAAGTATGGAGGGTTGAAAAACACGAGGAAAAGTAAGTTGAGCAAGAGCGCTGTCGATCAATACTCGACAACATACTAGGTCAGTGATTCAAAAAATACGAGTTTCCCTTGTAAGGTCAAAAAATCAGAAGGTATGCTAACTCCAGCGAAGTATTAAGATAATTGTTCCTTCTTACTTTTTACCACTTCTGCGAGATATTTAAATCTGAAACGAAACGGATTTTTTTTGAGCTAACTACTGAAAGGAAAAACAAAAATCAGCTGCAGAAATGATGAGAACGGATAATGTTTTAAAACTAAGCGAAACTGCTGTTTGATTTTAAGGTTTTAGATGAACAACGAAACTCTCCTGACACATAATCTGATAAAAGTAGAGAGATAAATATGAAGAATAACCCAAATACAAATAGAATGAGGATTTACAACCAAAAATGCCACTGAAGAAGATCTAAAAATTCCAAACATCCCGCAGTTTTTCTTCTTTGTCTTCCTATCAACAATCATGTTGTTGAACAAGATTTATAGCAATACTGAAAACAATTTACCAACCTCCTTATGCACTCTTTCTTTGATCTCCCTACAAAATTTGCAATATTTTCCCAACGGTCTGGATCTGATGACGGAAATTTCTTAAGCGCTGTTTCAAGCAACTTTTGTTCTTCTGCTTTCCATTCCAATTCACTTCCTTTTGTTGAATTAGCCAAAATATCCTTTATTTTCTTCTGGTCTTCAGCGTTATTTAATGACTTCAATGTTTTCACCTGAAATTAAGTGACTTTAAACTTTCATAAATCATGAAAAATAAATTCACAGCAGAATTAAAATGTTAAAAAGCGCGAATTCACTGAAATCAAAGCTTCTATTAGCAATGATGTAAGTCAACAAGTTACATTATTTAATTTTTTTGTGAAGCCTATTTTGCAAAGTGCTTCATTCGTTTCTGTGGGCACTAAATAACTCGTAGTTATGCATTAAAAAAAATTTTCTGGAATATGTTTCACGATGCATATAAAACAAAACTGCACCTCATATTAAGTATTCTCAGAAGACGCTATCAATGAATAATGAAATAGATAAAATAGAATACTTGAGTCAAGACATCTTTTTCTGTTTTCTTTTTTGTATTCTTACTTTCACGGTGCTCATTGATATAGTTTGCAATTTCTGACCATCTAAAAACAACATTTAATTTCACATATATAGTCATATCAAAATCTTTGAAAACTTCTATCTTATGGCCGTACATCCAATTTATTCACAGTTTACAGCACTGTACAATATAGATTCAAAACAAACAATCGGGATTTGAAACGAAGCCTGAGTATAAATTTTAACCTTTTGGTGGTGCCGACAGGATACAAAGTAGTGGCTTTAACTAGTAACGTTATTTCATCAGAGGACCAACGAGACATGTTATCTGTACCATTCTCAGAAACTCCATCTTTGATCTCGACACTTTCCGGAACTTCTTTATGAATCTGAAACTCACATTTCCATAAAATAAACTATAATCTTAACATTTTCTTTCTCAAGTCTTACTATGTATAGCAGGAAATAATGACAAAATTCCAGTGAACAACAGCACCATGTATTATAACGGGTACAGGAAATTATACGTCGCATTAATAACATTTATTTAAAGTAAATATGCATACCTGAACGTTTAAAATGCTCATTGCTTCAGTGATACCGTTCACCAATTCAAGCTTAGCTGTGATTTCATTCAAATGAACTGCATCAAATCGCAAACAGACATATTCAATTGTTTCCAGGCAAGACAATTTCGATGACATGTCTGCATCCCAGTAATTTTTAGCCTAAAATGCGTTTTTCTTAAAAATAAATTTTTTGCTTCTTTAGTACTGCTTTTTCATGATGGCGTTTACACCATCACCACAGAGAAATTCGAAGGAGACACATGAACAGCATTTAATTCGCTCATCATTTGCGATTCAAAGCAATCGTTTTAGCCAATTAAAATAGAGATTTCTTTCCCGTTTTCCTAAGTTTCTCTCCCATACGTGCAACCGTTACCGCTATTACACCAGTATCCAAACCAGTTTTTTGAGGGTAAAGATTCAAGAAATATAATTAAGTAAAACAAATTCAATGCAGCAAACAAACTTCAGCAGTTCTACGGAGCTTCCTTCGAGCTTCACCAAGCAGTTTCTTCTGCTGCTCTTTTATCCGCTTTTCGTAAGCTCGATGCTGCCGTTCTTTCTCTACTTGTTCCTCCTCTATTTTTCTATTTTTCAATTCAATTTCCTGAAAAAAAAAAGATCTGTTCACTTTTATCTTACTTTTTGCAAAAATAATATCATTCACTCAATACCAAGCTCAAACCAAACATTACCAATTTCTTCTTCTCATCCTGAGCTCGCTTCTCTTCCAGAGCTTTTCTACGTTCGTTCCTTTGGTTCTCCTTTTTTAATTTTTCCTGTTCCTTGAACATTGCTACTCGTGGGTCTTTACGATATGTCATCTCAACAAGATTTCTGATTCGTTTCATTTCGTTCCTACGCCGTTTTTCTCGCTCAATCTAATCAAAATTACGTAAAATTTACATGAAATTTCACAATTTTTGAATAGATTGATGTGCAAACTTCTTTCAACCATTAGAAAAATGTAAAGAGAACTTTCAACTGAATAAATAACAGTCTAAATGTACAGTGTTACACACCTATATTTCTATCCGGAATACATGTACATTCTTTGATGTTTTCTCACACCAAAATTGTTTTCTAGTTTGAGTCTATCCTCAATGATAAATATTAACCTTATTTATTTTCTCAATTTCACGTCTTTCCCATCGATCTTCTCCCTTTTCCTTATCTTCTTCATCCAGATATGAAAATTCACGCCACGAATCCCAATTAAACCAAAATGAGTAAAACCTGTCTACTTCAACTTGTGCGCTATTGATATCGCCTAATAATGGTACAGGTTGCCGAATAGACCATCTAAAAATGACATAAATTTATAATTTTCTGTATGGAGTATAAACTCATTTGTTTTACAAAAACTCTTAAGTAAGTCTTGAGTGAGAATACATTAACATCGACTTGCTTCAAAAATTTTAGAACGATAAGTACTAAATTTCTGCTCTAACAATTCTAAAAACCTCTGTATACTTGCCATTACGTCCAAAAATTCATTACATCATTCAAACATCAATAAAAATGAAACAGCAAAACAATACTTCCATCATTCAGCTATATGCTAGAAATAGCTAAAGTTGTAAGAATCTCCGAAATCAAGTAAATATTTACCCAGAAAAAAAATGGAATAGTAATTCTTGCTTGTTTAAACACTAACAGAAAGTTGATTTTTCTGATAGCGCAAGAAGTGCTACTGCTACATAATAGTTTTATAGTGGAAAAAATTACATTTTCATAGTTGGATGACCTTCCGGAAAAATGCAGATTTTATAATATTGAACCAGTAAAAGAGTGTGATAATGGTATTTTAAGACTTGAAAAAAAAGTGAAATTATTTAAAAGAACCTTGCATTCCTAATAAAGACCGGCGCCAGAATATCAAAAAAATTGTCAGAAGTGATTATTTTCTCGTCTGGAATCGAATCATCGAATAATGGATCCACGGAGTCATAAGCCCTTCTTTTCTGTTCCGACAATCCTAATTGTTCATAGGCTTTGGTAATGCATGTGAAGTGCTCTTTGCTACCACCTGCTTCAACCCTTACTGCATTGTTCTTATCCGGATGATGCTTCAGTACTTTGGCACGATCTGCAGAAATTTTGCATCAAGGATAAAAAAGACAAAAAAAGGTAAATAAGGACAAAAACACCAGTTTCGGATTTCCCTGTAATGTTAAACAAACAAAAACCGAACGTACACAGAAAACTGCAAGTTAGAAAAATCTCGGATTTCGTGAAATATCATCAGGATGATATCGGAAAGACTGAACGTAGCATACAATAAATTAAGCGTAGTAGTGGATCTAATTTCACTTCATAAAAATGTACTGAAATAATACGGAAAAAACTACAATACAACTTACAGGCAGTACGAATCTGTGAAGTACTGGCTTGCCAGCGTAGGTTTGATAACCCAAGGACTTTATAATGGTCTTGATCTTTACAACGTTTTGGATCTAGATTTTTCAAAAAATGGAGATAATGCTCATCATCCGGATCCATAAATTCATTCAATGCCTGAATTCATTTGTTCTTTCATTTTATTTAAAAACAACGCACTGATAATAGATTAAATGAATTTTTTTATATTAAACTTTGTTTTTAAAGGAAAATCGTTACGCAAGTTTCATTGCCATTCACACTGTCCGGATTCGTCCAATTTTCAACAACGTGTCCAATAGTTGATGACTGTTTTAAGACAGGTTCAGTGCTTAGGCCAAGTGCTAGTTTATCGCGAATAATACGTAATTCATACGAAATCCCTGCTTTTTCTACTTTCTGAATGTTACGATTAAATCCATAAATGGCTAAATCAAACCCGGATAACGGCATCACGAACCTGTAAAATACACATACATACAATAAGTGATCTAAAATTTTAAGCTACAAGAGCAGCGCAAATAATTTAAAAGAGTAAATTACAGTTGAAACAAGCGTTAGTATCACAGACTTTCGTCATCGTTTCCAGAGATTTTTTTTTTTTTGAATTACTTTCGCCAAAGAACACAACCAGATAATATATGGTAAACGAGAAAAAAGAATAGCAAATATTTAGCAAGGAATACAAAGAAAATTGGTAGTGGTGAAGTGTTCTTCTCAACATCCAGAAACAGGTCACGTCCTTAGGCTAAAATAAAATCCTGAGTCCCGTTTTACGGGATATCCGGTGTGAAATAAATCCACACTTCACGCAAATAAAACCCCGCCGTAATTATGTAAAAGTTACATAAGAATTTTAGTTCATTAGGTGTTGATCATTTTACGAGCCACATGACGGTCTGTTAAATTCAATTGGTTAAATTTTCGCCTGGAAATCATTACACCATGGAGATAGTGTGATAGTGATGATCGGATATTTGTGCTTCCGATCGAATATTGCGTTGATGATTTGCAGCATTTATATGTTAATTCTTTACCATATGCTTTTACTTACTTTGATGAAATAAGTTGATGATAAGATGATAAGGCAGTAATTAAATTTACTATTTAATAAATTGAAAAGAAAGAAAGAATTATTATATAATTGAATGGCATATACGAGATTTTTTTAATAAAACAATCCTTTTTTGCTGTTTTAAATAGTAAACGACATTCCTGACATTCCGCTACTTCATAGGACTGCTTGTAGTAGGCTTGCTGGTAGTATCTGTAAGAATCATATCGCTTAATGAACGAAGATTGAAGTAGGAAGGAAAGGAACACTGTTATGGAATAGAAATAGAAAGACAGAGGTGGACCTGAAATACTGGCCAGCGAAGTCAATTAATAACATTGATAACATATGAGATAACACGCAATTGATAACATGTGCAATAATGTACGGTCATAATCTCAGTGTTCGAAATCCATGTAACCTCTTGTCAGTGAGAATTAGATTGTAACTAAATTTTGCAGGATAAATGAGGAGAAGTTATGCGCTGAAAACGATCGTGTTTCATTCATGTTCCATTGGTGCAAAAGGTGTGCCACCGGTGAGAAGTTGTCAATCAGTAGGAGCAAAAAACATCAAAGTTATAAAAGGACCAAATTATTTATCAGCACTTGATATTGTTAAAGAATATGGCATACCAATTCAAAGAGTTTCATTGAGTCGTGGACTTGCATTAAATCGCTTTGAAAAAGTATATTTCCATTTTATTATATTCAACCTTCAGATCTATCTCAAGTATAAATTTTGGCAGTCTGCATATTTTTTTTTTTTTGTTAATTTCAGCGAAATTCTCGTAGATTCACCTCTTTTGCTTTATTTGCATAGCGAAATTTTTTTCCTCGACTTAAAAAGATCAGTTTCGAAAGCTTTTGTTAGTGTCCGCTCACAGGTTTTATTTCCGTCTGATAACATGACGGCTTCCTCACTTGCTTCTTTCTATTTTCTCGAAATTTCCAGGTGGTTCATTTTAAATTACCAACTTTATGTCGAATTTACTCCTTAGCTTTGCGTTTTCACTAAATGTCAGTGCTGATGTATTGTCATTTTGTGGAGGTTATCCATCGACCATTATGAAAATCAGGTGTATTAAAATGAATTGTTTGCTAAATGATTATGTCTTTTTTACAAAATTAACTTTTACTGTTGCAAAATTGAGCAAGAAATTTTAGTTTTATAATTTCTTTTGTATTGCATAAAAATGCTATTTAAGGATTTCTTTATTTACCCGGAATATTCTGATACGGATGCAGCTGAGAGCATGTTGCAGTTAGTATCTGCACTCAAGAACGACATCAAAGCAGCAGGTAAATAGCAGTGTTTATACTATTGCAAAATTTTTTTTTGATGTACTGTAAGAACATTATAGTTTTTCGTTATTCTACTTCAAGCTTTAGTAGTCAGTTTTCAGCTGATCAAAAGGATCTTCTTTGGGATAAATACAAACTCTCTTCGTACGCTGTTCCTAAGAAATACGGTGTGTTACTTTGATTTTGCACAAATCGACGCCACCTGAATACTTTTAAAAATTTTATAAAAAGTAAAGGGAAGAAAAAAGTGTCTCTGGACATCATTCTCGATCATAGAGGTAGTATAGCAATTTGACTCTTTTTGTTTCAACATATATTGTAACATCGAATAGTGACAAGAACAGAGGTTTTATCTTCAATTTTGAAAATTTCGTCTCAGTAGCAATTTATTTGGGAATATTCAGGTGGCGTCGATTTGTGTTACAAAGATCTTTTAACTATTTGTGAAGGATTAGGATCCTATTGGAAATTTTATTATCGTTTCGAGCAAACTCATCTGGCAGCATCTCTTATTCTGCTGTACGGCAACGACCTGCAGAAGTCACATTATCTACCGCGAATTGCATCAGGAGTAATTCGACCTGTAATTGGTTTTTCCAGATCTGAAATGTTAGTATTTTTTTTAATATTGTTCGCTATTTCCTACAAAAATTCATAAATTGTGCAATTGTGTATGAATTCATGTAAACCATCGGCGTCTTCCGTGGATTGCCTACGTTTTGTTTAATAGAAGAAAATGTTGTAATATGTTTCGATGAATGAATTTTTTAAGATTTTCAGGGATTCGAATTCGGAATCAGTGGCATCTTTATGTGAGCTTACTAATGGCAAACAAAAACTGATTGCAACAAATCATTTTATCAATGCATCAGATGCTAATTTGCTTCTCGTATTTGCTAAGCAGGTTTGATTCATTGGTCAACATATATGTTTTACTGGAGAAGCTTGTTTGGAGACGGATTCTCAACTTTCAGTGGGTATGAATGGCTTTGTAAATTGTGCCATTCATTAATTTCTCTCTGTCATTCTTACACTAGATATGATGCTGTTTTCTTACTTGGATCTCATGCTTATTTTAAAAATACTTCATTTATCGTGATACTCACTACTTGTTAGTGTAAAATTCAATTTTTTGGAATATTGAACGCAGTAAGAGAATTTTTGTAGGAATAAGTAAGGTGTTAGAACATATTTAACATGATTATTTCCAGGGCAAAAATAATGTAGCATGCTATCTTATTGAGAACAAAAATGGAAGCAGTGCTACTTTTGAAATGGGAACGAAAACTTCTATTTTTGGGAGAAGTGGATTAAATGGTAAATATTTTAAGTCATTCAGAATCCTTTTCAAAGGTTCATCTTATTTCGTCAAATGTCATAGCATTTCCAAATCTTTTTAATTACGCTCCCATCATTTTTCCTCCTTCAGTTAATTCATGGGATTTCAAGCAGATGACTGTAAAACCAAGCTTGATGTTAGGAAAACTTGAAGATGGAAAAAAAATCTTACAAGAAACACTGGTGAAGCGAATTTCATTTGGTGCTGCCGTCGTAGGTTTTATGAAAAATTTAATAAGTATGTTATACATTATTTTTTTTCTCTATTAAATCAGTTTCGTGATTGATTTGATTACTTAACTTCGAATTATTCTAATTGTAATTCCCACCTACTTTGCGAAGATTTTAATGCTCAGAAACATTTACTAAAGCATAGCGGGATGTAATATGAGGCTGTGCATCTCTTAAACATTGCTTAAAACAGTTTACATGTTGATATATATATATA